ATCATCAAACTAAATCCAACAGACTACAAGCTGACAGACTCTATAGCCCCAACCAACATATAGCAAATACATAACACAATGCAGTTCAATCAATATAACATTGATATAGGCAGCTCAATGCAGCACAATAGCAGTAAACATACTGAAATTAAGAAAAAAACAGAAAGTGAAGAGTATAGCCTCCACTGAACCAAAGGACCTAGATGACTCCACTCCCCTTACTGCTCTTCTCTCTTAGTTCTGTTGTTTTTGAATTCTAACCAGTCACAATGGGTTGCTCTAAGCACAGCCTGATCAGGCATCCAAATATCTTTGAACTTCCAGAGATTCCGTGACTTCCAAAACTACCGATTCACGGTTCCATTTTTGTTGAACCACAACTAGTTCGGGATTAAGACTGGCCAGTTCAGTAAACCAACGGTTCTAGTTCAAAATCGGCTTGGCAGTTCCTAGCGAGCCGTAACTGGATTTTTTATTTTTTAATTTTTAGATAGCATCGCGGATGGGTGGGTGGTTGGGGTAATGGAAGAAATGGACTTGAAATATTATATGTTGGAATATTTGTAGTTACAAAAATAATATTTTAAATTAATATATATTTAAAAAAAATTATAATACGTCAATTAAGTTGTTTACATATTTCTTACATGGGAATCAAATCTTTATATTAGAGTCCATGACCGTAAATCAGAAATCATCGACACTTTGTTAAGATTCTGCATCCTTGCCTCGGAGTGCCTCATTGTATGACTATGGATCAGTTTCACGTTTAACTAAGTCTGAAGACTTTCTCAAGAACATGAATTCATAATCTCGTGTTTAATAGAGACTGAGACTAACGACTCTCTCGTAAATACGAATCTATGGTGTTGCCTTGCAATCCTCCCACCACAATGAGCACAACAAAGTATAACTAGTGATCAGATTAGCGTCCACTAGAGACTAAGTCCGATGACTTTCTCAAGAACATGAATCAAATGGGCTACCTTGCAACCCTCCCACTACGACGAAGTTCCTCTGTCAAAGGTGTATTGCTCACGACATGTGTTGCAGTTTTATTGTGGTATCACATTTGTAAACGCGGTATCAAAGTCGAACTTTCACATTTATCTTTCCTTATAACAATTCTACAAATGAGCTCGTAGGTTATTACTTAGTATTCCTCTAAAAATTAGGCATTTGTGGTACCGATCACATTTTTATTTTCAATATTATAAAATAAACAATCTTTCTCGTTACTATGAAGTATCCCACAAACATTCTAATTTCCAAACGACCTTTCCGATCCTATCAGTATCAACTTTTCAGCAATGTAACGAAATGCCTCGAATCCGAATATGTTCCTGACTAGGCCTAACCTTGTCAATAATTCATTCAGAGTAATGACAACAGACTTAGATGGAACTATGTTCAAAACTTATCTTGTTGTTTGCACATTTCTTAGTAACTCATTATTAACACAACCAATATACCTAAAAGATAATTTTCTTTATTCTGTTACACTGTCCTGTTTAGGTAACCCGGTGCAACCTGTTGAGACTGAATCCCAACTTCTAATTTGTAATTCCCATATTTTTTTTTTTCTGAAAGGTACTCGTCGCTACGGTTACAATCATAATGGCACTGATACATTAACCTCGACGTCTTTCAAATTTTCCATCGTACTTCCTCAGTCCTCAAGCTTATGGAACATCAATATATCACGTCTCCAATAAATTTCTCGAAGAAAAATATTTAGAACTACCATTTGTCCTAAAAATCATAGGACTACACTAATTGGATTAATCAAATCTAACATTTATTTGGATTCGAAACCCCTCAACCTTCATAAGGCCATTCTAGTCATTTTAGCCACTAAGTATAATTCGTAGGTCTGATAGTTTAAACCACTCCCAAAGAACTCATGAATTTGTTGGGCTATCCACCTTTAATATTCTACTAACGCTAAAATTTCCATACACTAGATGTCAAAATAATGTATAATTCATTTATTGAAGGTCATTTCTTCTTATTGGCTTTAGTCGTGTTACTTATTCCATGCACTGCACTGTGAGTGTAACACCCCACCTTACTGTAAAATCAGAGTTGCGCAATAATTCGCAAAGTCTCTGAAAAATAAAACATTTTTACTTTGCGAAAACTGATTCGGGGTGCTACCGTGAAAA